TATATATATATATATTTATAATTTTATATATATAGATATATATATTATAGAATATATATTTATATATATAATATATTATAATATATATATATATATATATATTTATATATATATATATATTTATTTATATATAAATATATATATATATATATATAATATATATATAATTATTTATATATATATATATATATATTATATATATAATATCTATATTATAGGTAGTAGGTGGTAGAACGCAACCACCCAGGGAATGGTACTACCGTTTCTGCCTAGGGAGTGTTCAAACGAAAGCCTGTAATTGTTTTACATGATGGTTAGGGATTGCTGGTGTCTTTTGCTGTCTCATAATATTCACGATTCAGGTACGTCTTGCACTTCTACTTACCTTAGGTCACAGCTACACATAATTGTACACGTTTATTTATACCACACTCATCTGAGTTTTCTTTGATTTTTTCTTAGTTTTTGTTCTAACTTACTTTTCCTTTTATATCCATGGGGAAAGTGGAATAAGAATCTTTTCTCCGTAAGCCATGCGTGTTGTAAAGTCAACTAAAATGCCGGGAACAATTGGCTAGTTACCCTTTTCGTGTATTAATTACTAAAAAGATTAAGAGAGAAAATTGTCAAGTGGGAAAGTTTTGAATGTGCGTAGATGTTGTGCGAATGATAAGAGATGATTGTGGATGTTATGAATGATAAGAAGAGGATATACGTGGCTTTAAGTGAAACAAAGCTGAAGGGGGCGACGTGAGTTTCAGTGGAGAAGGAATAATATGGGATTAGGGTCAGGGGTTTTAATAGAGGTTAGAGCTAAAGAAGGAGTAGCGATAATGTTGAAGGATAAGCTTGGCAGGAAAAGAGGGGACTATAAATGTTTTAATGCAAGGATTTTGTGGAGTAAATAAAGTTGATGTGAGAACGTGTGTTATAGTAAGCGTTTATGTACCTGGAAGGAAGCAGAGAGTATAGAGGAGAGAGAAAATTTGGGAAATGTGAGTTAATTGCGTGCGGGAATTTTGAACCAAGTGTGAGTACTTGTGGTGGGGATTTTAATGCTAAAAGTAGGGGAAAAAAATGTTGTGGAAGGCGTAAGTTAGTATGTAAATTTGGGAGTGCCACAGGTAAATGAAAATGGGAGCCTTTTAATTGAGCTATGTGTAGAAAGAAAATTTGGTTAATAAGTAATACATATTTTATGAAAAGAGGGTAAATAAATATACAAGGTATGATTGTAGCAGTATTGAAAATTAGTTTGTTAAGATTATGTATTGGTGGATAAAAGGTTGAGGGGTAGGCCTCCAGGATGTAATGTTTATAGAGGGACAACTGATATATCGGACCCATTATTTCGTTGTAGCTACAGTTTAGAGTAGAGGTAGATGGGATAAGAGGGAAAATGGCAACAAGAGGGAGTGAAAGTGTATAAATTAAGGGAGGAGGAAGTTCGGGTGAAATATAAGCAACTTTGGCAGATAGGTGGGATGGTGCAGGTATGAGTAGTGGGGATGGTTTTGAAGAGGGTTGGAAATAGTTTTAAAAGCAGTATTAGAAATGAGGGCAGAAGTTTGTGGTTATAGGAGGGTGGGGGGCAGGAGGAAAGAGGGAGTGATTGTTGGAATGATGAAGTAAAGGGTGTGATAGAAGAGAAAAAGGTAGCTTATGAGAGGTATTTACAAAGCAGAAGTGTTATAAGAAGAATAGAGTATATGGAGGGTAAAAGAAATGTGAAGACAGTGATGAGAGAGTGCAAAAGGGGAGCAGATGATAGAGTGGGAGAGGTACTGTCAAGGAATTTTAATGGGTGTGAAGCTTGGGTTGTAAATGCTGCAGCAAGGAGGCGGTTGGAGGCAGTGGAGATGTTCTGCCTAAGAGCAATGTGTGGTGTAAATATTATGCAGAAAATTCGGAGTGTGGAAATTAGGAGAAGGTGTGGAGTTAATAAAAGTATTAGTCAGAGGGCTGAAGAAGGTTTGTTGAGGTGCTTTGGTCATTTAGAGAGAATGGATCAAAGCAGAATAACATGGAGAGCGTATAAATCTGTAGGGGATGGAAGGCGGGGTAGGGGTCGTCCTCGAAAAGGTTGGAGGGAGGGGGTAAAGGAGGTGTTGTGGGCGAGGGGTTTGGACTTCCAGCAAGCGTGCGTGTGTTAGATAGGAGTGAATGGAGACAAATGGTATTTGGGACCTAACGATCTGTTGGAGTGTGAGCAGGGTAATATTTAGTGAAGGGATTCAGGGAAACCGGTTATTTTATATAACCGGAGTTGAGTCCTGGGAATGGGAAGTACAATGCCTGCACTCTAAAGGAGGAGTTTGGGATACTGGCAGTTTGGAGAGATATATTGTGTGTTTTTATACGTATATACTTCTAAACTGTTGTATTCTGGGCACCTCCGCAAAAACAGTGATTATGTGTGAGTGAGGTGAAAGTGTTGAATGATGATGAAAGTATTTTCTTTTTGGGGATTTTCTTTCTCTTTGGGTCACCCTGCCTCGGTGGGAGACGGCCGACTTCTTGGAAAAAAAATATATATAAAAAAATTTATATATATATATATTATATATATATATATATATATATATATATAGAGAGAAGAGAGAGAGAGAGAGAGAGAGAGAGAGACAGAGGGGGGGAGGTATCACTTCTAGAACTGTACTGGGGACCCTCATCCTCTGAGAAGAGAATAAACGTACCTCAGGGAAAACTCAAGGTTCTCCCCGGAGCTGTTTAAATATTTTCTTCTCCTACCACCCCTATATTCAATATTTTACGTGAACTTTATTAATACATAGAATACAAACATGAATACATGAATACATTGGTACAATATATCAAAGATTATGAATCTCCTCCAGCTCCTCCGAAACTCGACACGAGCCCAGTATGCAGCATGCATTTCCCCTCTGGATGGCCATGCTGAGGTGCTGTCCTTGAGTCCCTGGTGGTGTTGAATCTGGAACCCAGTTCTTTAAGGAAACGTTTATCATTTTTTTCCCATGATTTCCAAGGTTTCTGATCCCACTGGGACAAACTGATACTGTTGGCTTATGTCCATGTACTTGCCCATCTTGTACTCCTCCCTGTAATCAGCAGCTTCACCCTGTTACCCGACACTGTGATGGATGTAGGTGTCAACCAGCGTCGATACACAGGTATAGTCCCATGCTAAGAGGTAGATGGTGATCCTGTCAGGGTGGTCTGCTGGATTGTGGGTACTGTTGGCTGTTAGTGATTGAGGCTCTCCCTCGGCAGGGCATCCAGCTATATCAATGTTTCTCTTTATGTCGTTGACTTCATTGTGTCTTGCGTGCCAGCCCTTCATTTTGGAACAGTTAAGACCATGTAGACCATATTGGTCGGCTTGTGTATCGCCGCAAATACACGTATATTCCGTACGTGTGAATTGGGACAGCAAAGCAGAGAGCTACTGCAATATGGAGGGTCTTTAGGGTCGAGGAGTGTTCCCATTTCCGAAATGGGAACTGTTTGTAGGAAGTCCCCAGAGTGATGTGCACTCACAGCTTGGAGATGGGGAGTCACTCTGATGTTACAGCCCAAAGCATATAATATATATATATATATATATATATTATATATATATATAATATATATTATATATATATATATATATATATATATATATATAATACACACACACACACACACACAGGCAGGCCCCGCTAATACTGTGAAACGAAAATCACTGTAAAACACAGCCTTTTTTCAGTTTCAGATGCATATAAAAGCCTGATAACATGTTTACACTATCATATATTAAGTGAACAATTGAGTCAGGCCTAAAAAAAATGAATATGCAGTACACACATTACTTTAAAATAATTTCGTCCTTAGCGTATAGTGAGTCGTGAATATATTTATTGTAGGAAGAATGGTGTAAAAACGAAGCGCTGCAAAGTGGGGCTCTCCTGTACACTGGTTACTTATGTCTTCCTGAAGCACATCACGACACACGGCTATTGTAGGTGGTTATGCACACTTCCTGCAGGAGGGAGGACGAGGAGGAAGCTAAAAAAAATAAGAAAGGAAAGAGATGCTAAGAGTTAGGAAGGAGGAGTTGTAGGATTTACAAAACACTTTACCCTATCAGGTCATTCAGAGCACTTGTCGATACAAAGTTGTATACAAACACATTAACACTCACAAGGTAAAATTATTCTGAAACACAAAACAATTACACTAACGAACAAACATGAAAATAAATGCTATCACACCAAGTTCCAATAACCGGCATCAGTTAAAAAATATTAAATCGTTAACGTCAAAAAGCTACTTGGAAATTTCTCAGAAGTTCCTACAGGTAAACCATTAATTATAAAAGCATGACTTGTGCGAAAAGGCTGAAGCTGTGGATAAACAATAAAAATGTGCGCCACAGTCAACAGCAAGCCACAAGTCTCAAAGAAAGAGGAAGGAGCACCTACAAGCAGGTAGGTGGCACTGGGTGAGATGCACAATAAAAAGAAAATCCTAATGATTCTTATCGAAAGTATGGGAAGAAAAGGAGTTGGCAGGCGGGGAAGGGGGAGTTCGAGTTAACTACCTGAGACGAGAATAGGACGAGCTTGTAATAATATTCGAGAGCTTATATATAGGAACATGGTAAGGAGGAAGGCAAGAAAATGCGCCTTACCCAGGAGGACTACGCAGTTATGGCGTGGTGACACGGGTAGGACACACTGCAGATGAGGGGGGCGCAGCGTGTCAAATATGCAGATGGACAAGTGGAACACAGTGGTCAGTCAGTAGCGACAATATCTTGCTAACAGTGGTCTCTCGTACAAGACTTCCACTCAACCAACACATGTTCCAAGTAACTAAAGGAAAACCACCACACCTGCTTAAACGATGTGTGAGGCAGGAGAAACACGAGGAAGAGAATGAATAGGAGAAGGGAGAGAAAGAGAGATGAAACCGAGAAAGGGGAGGAGGAAGAATAAATTAATAAAACCCCCCAGAAAGACGGCAGCTCGACTCACCTCAAAGTAGGTATGCAGAAAGGAGAATGGGACGTAAACGTCGTTGTGATCCCTCCTGCATGATACCTCAGATTCGTGGTTGATGAGGCAGGTGATCTCTAAGAGTCGCTCACCCCCACCTTCATCAGCTGCCTCCACTCCCGCAACGCCCCCACCCTGGCACAACATAGGCCAAGGTAAACAATACAGGCTAGGGTAAACAATACAGGCTAGGGTAAATAACACATGCCAGGATAAATAACATAAGCCACTTTCCCATGGAAATGAAGTAAAGCTTCAAGAGTAAGAACTATTAAGAAATTACAAGGAAACCCAGATGAGTGTGTATACACATGGCTAAAAATGCACTGTTGTGTGTGTAGTGCATTCTGGGTGTCAGTAGTGGTAGGAGGATTTATTTGTTATCTTACGCGTTTATAACACAGAATTAGCGTCAGTAGTAATAGTAGCAGTAGTAGTAGGAGGATTTACCTGTCAGCTTACGTGTTATAACACAGAATGAAGAGAGATAACAATGAAAGAGATCAGCAATCCTGGAAGTGTATAACAATCATTAGTTAGGTAAAAAGGACACAAGTACAACTAATGTGACATTTTATTGGGGGAGGGTTTCGCTCTCCAGGAGCTTTGTTAAGCCGTTACGGCTTGACAAAGCTCCTGAAGAGCGAAACAATGCCACTTGTGTCCTTTTACCTAACATATTGTCCGTAATTCTACCAACATTATTAGAACAATCAACATGTTTGTGTGTTTCACACTCACAGGACAGGACGGTAGTGTCTCTGAGCAGCTGCTGTCTTGCAGCCTACTACCTACACTACCAGCCAACCACCTAGATTTAAATATGTGGCTTAAATTATAATAATATTTCATAGATAATAAATGAAGGTTGTTAGTTAGGTCACGATCATTTTTGTCATTACAGAATTCATACTCCAGATAAAACCATCTGTTTCAAATTACTTAGAATCTATATACCATTAGTCTAATAATTACGTAGCTACCAAAAATGGGGAGGGGGTCTGTAAACGGGAAAACTGGGTCACCACTAGGCTCGATAGGGGTTGAGCCTCGGCTTCTGGTCTCTCTCCCCCTCCCTCGAAGCTAGCCGTGAGTGGGCTCACGTCTAGCCTCGTGGATCGGACGTATCAAACCTCTTCTTAAAACCGTGTATGGAGCCTGATTTTGTTTATCGCTCCTGGTCATGTAAATTAGGTGGATGTGACTTACCTCCTGGTGGTGAGCATGGGTGTGCTGGGTGTCCACGGCACCGCCCACGCTATATTCTGCCTCCACGTACGTCTCCTCGCCCACCACACCGCCCACCTACAACAATAATGTGTCTTTCTTTGATTAAGAAATATATACGGACGTTAGTATGTTGCTCATATCTAGGAGATTTTAGGTACTGTACAGTCATTATATTTAGAAAGAACAAAACAGCACAATACCGTAACTGGAACAATACACAAATAACCAGCACATTTAAGAGAAATGTCGTCATAAGCTTCTCTCTCATATGTGCGGGTTATCTGTGTATTATATTTAGCAAACACACACACACACACGCACACAGGGCCAGGAGCTATGACTCGATCCCTGCAACCACAATCAGGTGAGTACACACACACACACACACACACACTACAACTAGGGACTACATTTACATCCAGCTTGGAGTACGCCGCACCACCATGGTGACCATACATGATCACCTCCATAAAAAAATGATGCACTACATTGGTCATAGGATTTTTTAAGTCTCTTGGTAGCAAGTAGTGAGTGTAAGAAACCAAACGAAGAGAAGTGAAGGCAAACACTCATTATGACCCTGAAAGTGAGAAACCTGTAGAGAAGCCAGGAGCTGTAACTCTACCCCTGCTAAGATCCAGGGTTATACACGCATCTTTTGTTTTTCTCATTCCTACTTATCCTTCCTTAGTTCCTGCTCCGTGTTTTGTATCTGTTGCTGCTACTACAGTTGGTTATGTTGCTGTAAATGCTGCAACTGTTCTTCATACCGTTGTTGTCCGTTCTAGTGCAGCTGGTACTGCAGGTGTGCTGCTATAGCTGCTGGTGCGGCTGTTGGTGATATTAGCGCACCTTGTCACACTGCTGAGGCACTAGAAGTAGGCAGTAACTGCACCTCTGGCCTCAGTATTTACACAGGCACAACCCGGCCTCCTCTAGTCGCTTAATTTCCGGTCCCACTGAGAGCCGGAAGTGGTTGAGAGCGGATGGACCATGAGATGCTCCCAACGGTGGTGATGGGCGGTCGTGGTGGTCGGGGTAGTAGGTGGTGGTCGTCGGGGTAGTGGGTGGTGGTGGTGGTGGTGGTGGTCGTGATGGTGATGATGATACTTTTAACATTATTGGAAAAATATACTTAGAAATTTGATAAAAACAAGCTGATTTCATCAACATGTTTTTGATAAGAAAACATTGTTTTCCATAATTTTTCAGTTTCAATTTTGTTTTTCTTCATAGAAACCTGACCGGGCCCCTTAACGCGGTGGTGAGGTTTGAGAAGGCGTGTACCTAAGGGTATGAATCTCTTCTCTCAGCAAGGCTGCCAGTATTATCCGCTATGGTATTTTTCCCGTTTTTTTTTCCGTGCCTCTCAAATACCTTACCGTGATTTCGTACAGTACCAAATTTCGTACCATACGGTTCTGCCATCCTTGTCTCTGGCAGAAGTGTCACTCTCCCCACAGGGTGCGTGCCTGGATATTTAACCTTTCGCCTAAAACTGCTGACACTGTCAATGACACGAAACCAATAATGGTTAGGGGATTGTGGAATGAGTTATTTAGTGACGACAGTAACAAGTTGACAATGTAAATTGCTGATAACAAGCAATTTGATAATGATAGCGTAACCTCAACATCTCCAATCTATACTACCCAAATCGTTAGTTTTCTTGCTATAAAAGATTGCTATAAAAAATTTTTTACTTACTAAAACGTTAACAAATGTCGCTGGAGTGTAGAAGTATAACAGAAGAAAATGTAAACCAACATAAAAAATAATGAATAAAAAACCAACCATCACAGGCAATATATAAAAAATCAACCAACAGTAACAATCAATAAAAAATAACCAACACGGGTAACAATCAGTAAATAAACAAAAACAATAATCAAAAAAGAAGTAACAATCAGGAGAGTGGACACATACAATCACAAACATTAATCACAAGTGATGAAGGTGAAACATCAGAGAGGCAACAACTATCTTTCAACCTTCTACCAGTAGATATAAGAGATACGGCTGTAAAAAAATAGTGCAAGTCTTCGATGAGAAACAAGACAATTTTTGAAAGGAACTATCTGATCAACCAGGCAGTGATGCCTGTGTGGGCGTTCTGACTGCAGAGAGTATTAGTCTAGCTGAACTGACGGTCAACGAGGAAGTTCATTTCTTTTGTTTTTTAAAAAATGGGGGTTAAAAGGGGGGAGGTTTGAAAGCTTTTAAAAGGGTTTTTCCCCTTTTTAGCAAAGTTTAAATTTTTTCCCCCTTTTTTTTTTCCCGGTTAAAAACCCTTTGTTTTTAAAAAATTTTCTTTTAAAGGTTTCCCACCTTGCTCGGCGAATTTAAATCCCCCAAAAGGGGGGGGTTTAAAAACCTTTCCCCTTTTTGGGACTTTTGAACGAAAAAATGGTTGGGGAAATTTGGAGGTTTTTGAGAATAAAAGTTGAAAGTTTTTTTAAAAAGTTATAAGAAAAAAAAAAATAAATTTAATCAATTAAAAAAATTTTTTTGAAAAAATTGAAAAAAAAAATTTTTTTTACTTTAAAAATTCAAATTTTCCTATGAGAAAAAAAAAAAGGGGGAAAATTTAAAAAAAAAAATTGAAAAAAAAAACCCTGGGCAAAATTTAAAAAAAGAAAATAATAAAAAAACCAAACCCAAACCAAAAAAAAAAAAATTTTTAAAAAAGAAAAATGGAGGGGGAAATCAAAAAAAAATTTAAATAGGGGAAAAAGGGGGAAAAAAATTAAAAAAAAGAAAAAAAAAACAATTAAAATTTTTCCAAAACTTTTTTTTTACCGGGGGGTTTTAGATGGGGGGGTAAGGGGGGGGGGGAAAAAATAAACGGCAGGTAAAAAAAATAAAAAAAGGGTTTTTCAGGACAAAGAAAAAAAAAAAAAAGCCCGGGGCCTTTGATTGGGGGGGGGGTTTTCCCCAGGGAAAGGCAGGAAAGTAAAAGGGAAATTTTTAAAAAAAAAGGGAAATAATTTTTTTTTGGGGGAAATTTTTTGGGGAAAATTTTTTTTTAAAAAAAATTTTAAAAAAAAAAATTTTTTTTTTTTTTTAAATAAATTAAATTTTAAAAAAAAATTTTAATAAAAAATTTTTTAATAAAACAAAAAAAAATTTTAAAAATTTATAAAAAAATAAAAAATTAAAAATAATACATTTTAAAACATTTTTTTTAAAAAATTTTTATATATATATTAAAATTTTTAAAAAAATTTTTAAAAATTAAAAAAAAAATAATTTTAAAAAAAAATTTTTAATATTTAACAATTTACCTTTAAATTTTTTTTGCAAACCAAATTAAAAATTTAAAAAAATTTATTATTAAAATTAATATAATTTTTTTAAAATAATTTTTAAAAAATTTTTTTAAAATTTTTTATTTTTTTAAAACATAAATTTTTTAAAAATTTTTAAATTATAAATATAAAAAAAAATTTAAAAAAATTTTTTTTTAATTTTTATTTTTTAAATTTAAAATAATTTTTTTTAAAAATTTTAAAAATTTTAAAAAAATTTTTTAAACTTTTAAAACTTATTTTTTTCCCCCCTATTTTAAAATTTTTTCCATTATTATTTTTACTTTTTAAAAATTAAACAAAAATTTAAAATTACTTTTTTAAATATTTTTTTAATAAAATTTTTTAATTTTATAAATAATTTAATAATATTATTAATTCTATTTAAATTAAAAAAAAAAATTTTTCTTTTTTATTAAAATTTTAATTATATAAATTTTTTTTAATTAATTATATTTACATTTTTTTTCCCATAATAATTTTTTTTTAAATTATATAAAAATTATTATATCATTTTATTTTTAATAAAAAAAATTTTAAAAAAATTTTTTTTTAAAATTTTTTTTTATAAAAAAATTTTAAAAAAATTTTTTTTTAAAAATTTTTTAATTTTTCCCTTTTTTATTTTTTAAAATTTTAACTATTTTTAAATTACCTTTAAAAAAAATTTTAAAATTTTTTTTTTAAAATTTTAAATTTAAATCCCTTATATAATAAAAAAAAAAATTTTTTTAAAATTTTAATAAAAAAAATTTATATCTTTTCTTTTTTAAAAAATTTTTTAAAAAAAAATTTTTAAAAAAATTTTTTTAAAATTTTTTAAAAATTTTTTTTTATAAAAAATTTTATTTTAAAAATTAAATAAAATAAATTTTTAAATTTTTAAAAAAAAAAAATAAAAGAATGGGAAAATTAACGTTTCGTGAAAATTAAATTTTTTAATTTGGGTTAAGAAAGGTTGGTTTTGTATTTTGAGGGGTTTTTGTTAATAATATAAATAATAAATTAAAAAAATTTTAAATTTTAAAAAAAAAATTTTTTTAAAAATTTTTTAAATAAAAAAAAAAAATTTTTTTATTTAAAAAATTTTATAAAAAACTTTGGGATGATGGGCAATGAAGTGGGGGGGGTGGGGGATTTGGGGGTGGTTTAAAAAGGGTATTTTAGATTTAAATTTGGTAAAAAGGGGTTTTGGGGGGGAAAGGGAGGGAAGGGGTGGAAGTGTGTGGGAGTAGTGGGGGTTGTTGGGGTTTTTTTAAAAAAAGTGGTTTGTAAAAGGGGGAAAAGGTTTAAAAAAAAGGGGGTTGGAGTGGTGGTGAAAAAGAAAATGGGGTGGGGGTTTGTTATAACTTTTTTTGGGAAAATGGTTTTTTTGGGGGATTGGTTAAAAGTAGGTGGTGGTTTGTTTTAAAAAATGGGGGGGTTTTTTGGGGTTTTTGGGTTTGGGGAAAAATGGGGGAAATTTGGGTTGTTTTTATTAAGGGGGTGTGTTTCGTTAGGGGAAGGGGTTTTGGGGTGGGGGCCTTTGTGAGGGGGGGGTTTGTAGGGTGGTAAAAATGGGGAAAAGGGGGATTGGGGAAAAAAAAGGGGAAATTTTGGGGGGGATTAATTTTGGAGTTTTGGTGCAATTTTTAAAGTTGGGAGGGTAAGGTATAGGGGGGAAGGGTTTTTTGTAAAAGGGAAAAGGGGGGGAAAAGAGGTGTTAAGGGGGGGTTTTAAGTCTGTTGGTATTGGGGTGTAGTTTTTTTAAAAAATTGGGGTTTGGGG